GAAAGTCCCCACAACTTGCCCTTCCTGCCAGGAGAACAAACCAAAAGCAATAACATACCCCCAAGGGAAGTGCAGAGATTAGTACCACCATCAAAGACTTTAGAATGATTATGAATTATCATAAATTTAATCAGGTTGCTACACCAATTGCAGCTGCTATTCCAGATGTACTTGCTATCTTTAATGAAGCAAAGCAATACAGCTTCTGAAATCTTATATACAAATACAAGTTGGCAAACACTTTTGTATCTAAACTAATTTGAAGTACTATCAGAAGACAGTTCCCTGGCATGATCAACAATATATTCTATGATCATAACATGGCTATTTTGCTCTCTACCCTCATTTCATCCACAGTGATCTTTTAAATATTTATAACATATTATACTATACATTATGTATAACATTAAAATATATCATATTACATTATATATATTACAATACATATTATTATGTATTACATATGTTTGTTTTACTGTGACATGCAACAGTACAAATGTTAAATGTGTAATTTTATTAATTTTTCCAAAAGTGATAGGCCATCATCCAAATTACAGTTATAGAAACACAAAAATAGAGGGACTAAGAGTGGTCTAGCTGAAACTAAAGCCCAGACAGTACATTTCAGAATCCCTTTGCTGAAGAGGATCTACTACACTAGTATATAGGGTAGCAGAGCTGTTTTCTTTGTTTGCATGTGAATTCATTTGTCAATGGCAGGTAGCTCAGTTGTTTACATCTCTTGACTATTATGAATAATATTGCTTAGAAGTTTCATATACAAATTTCTATGTGGACACCGATTTTCATTTCTCTTTGTTAGTGATGAATCATTTGGTAAAATAGAATATTTTGAGGAACTACCTGCTTGGCAAAGTAACTGCACCAATTTACAATATCAACACTAATTTCAGAGTTTCCAGTTCACATTCTCCCACTATCATTTATTACTTTTAAATCTTTATTTCAGAAACTGGTCTCTTTTAACAATTTGTGATAGATTATACAAATAAGTCAAAGATAAGTGCATTAAAAGGGAGTATGAACTTTTAAATCTAATTAGAACAGCAAAAATAATTGTAAACCTCTAAATGCTTATGGTGCTAAGTTCTGTTCTAAATATTTTATATATTTAATCCTCATAAAAGTCTTATGAAGCCAATTTCTATTTTATTGATGAAGAACCTGAGGCATAGATAAAAATTGATGTGCTCAAGGTCACAGTTAGTGAGCAGATTTCAACTCAAGAAAACTAGCTCAAGGATCTGTTCTCTTACCTACCGTGCATAAGTAAGTTTATATCACTCACTGTAAGCCATTGACTGTTGACAAGAATTTATATTTCTAGAGTACAGACTGCCTTTGTTATTCTAGCTGTTGATAAGAACTTGTTGAAGATTACTTAACATAAAACCATAGTATTTTTTAAACCATGAGTAGCTCTCGGATGAAAATCCCTATTTGTATATCTAACCAAATACAACAATATAAATTGCAAAAACATACAAGTTTCTTTAAGCCATGATAAACTAATGTTAATGTATTTTATATTTTCCGAAAGGATAATGAAGAGTAAAAAGGAGGTCTGGAGGCATGTCTCAGGTAATAGAGCGCTTGCATAGCAAGAGCAAGGCCATCCCGGTATAGTTAGGGGAAAAGCAGTGAAAACCGAGAAGTTGAGGTTTTAACTGCCATCAACAGGGTGTTCAATACGGATTTTTCTATTTGTACTAAATTTCAAGGTACCAGAAACTACTACCACATTATTATAATAGCTGAAATTCAAAGCCTTCCCCCCAAAATGAAGCTTTATAAAACAACAACTAAAAAATGCTACAGACATTTTTATCTTCATAGAAACACTTGGAAGACCAAGTAAAAGAAGAAATTAGCTGTTCTATGGAATTTTAGTGTCTTGGCTCCACTCCGCTATTACATATTACATTTGTTTTCTCTTTTGGAGCAGTCTTGTAGCAGGCTTAGGCAGGCCTCCCAGTCAGGACCTTCCTGCCCTGCCTGAGCTGAGATTATGCGATGCCATCAGATCAGTAATGCTGGGATTGCTACAATTCGTGGCTACTCTTTTTCAAACCATTACAGACATATTTGTAATGACAGTCTCCCAATATACTGAGTTACTATGAAGTCTGTTATCTAAGTTCTTAATTGAAAGCTCTTTATATAAATAAACATTATAGGAACTAATGGAACAATGCTTTAACCTAACAGTTACCATATAGCATCTCATACTACATATTACATTTTGAATACTGACACCCATGTTAAATAAACCATATACTTATATTGATATAAATTACATATGCCTATCTGGAAACCACCTTAAACTTCATGGGTTCCAAAATGTGTACAATAAAAAATATTTTTGAAGATATATGAAGGAAAATATACTTTAAAATGTATTAAGAATAAAAGCACTGAATTACATTTTGCATATTTAATTACTATGAGCAACTTTAATATTGAATATTTATGGGGTATTTTTTGTGGAACTAGAAGTTGAACTCAAGACCTTATGTGTGCTAAGCAGGTGCTCTACCACATAAGCCACATCACCAGTTCTCATGTGGCTTTTAAGTAATTGTAAGATCTATGACCTATGAAATGCAAAACTAAAAGCTGAGTACCAGTGGCTCACTCTTATAATCCTAGCTACTTGGGAGGTTGAGATCTAAGAATTAAGAGTTGGAGCCAGGTAGGGCAGACATATTCACAAGACACGTATCTCCAAATGTCAGAAAAGCTGGAAGTGGAGGCATGGCTCAAGTGATAGAGTGCTAGCCTTGAGCAGAAACACTTAGCAAGGGGTTGAGGATTTAGCTCAGTAGAGGATTTAGCCCTGAATTCAGTCCTCAGTTCTGAAAAACAAAACAAAACAGCTGGTGGCTCACCCTGTAATCCTAGCTACTAAGGAGGCTGAGATCTGAGGATTGTGGTTCAAAGCCAGCCCAGGCAGGAAAGTCCGTGAAACTCTTATCTCCAATAAACTCTCAGAAAATGAGAAGTGGTACTGTAGCTCAAGCGGTAGAGCGCTCACCTTGAGCTGATAAGCTGAGGGACAGCGCTCAGGTCCAGAGTTCAAGCCCCATGACCAACCAAAAAAAAAAAAAAAAAATCAAAACTAAGTAAGAGCTTAAGGCCCTGAGTTCAAACCCCAATACTGATAATGATGATAATAATAATAATGTAAAACCAAAACAATGGTTCCATCTGAATTAATTACTCAGCCTCTACTACTTTTAAAATGAAGTTGTGTGGCTCAAATGGTAGAGCACTGGCCTTGAGCAAAAAAAGCAACAAGCTTTCTGATGTATAGAACTCAATTAACTGGCAACCCAAAATATCTGCATACCATACATATAGAGAAAAAATACACATGAAATTATTATACATCAATATTGATATTTACTCAACATTTACAGAAACTACCCATAAAACCACTCATGTCAATTTTTTTTTGGGGGGGGGTCCAGTTGTGGGCCTGAACTCTGGGCCTGGGCGCTGTCCCTCAGCTCTTCACCTCAAGGCTAGCACTCTACCACTTGAGCCACAGTGCCACTTCCAGCTTTTTCTTTTCTGCTTATGTGGTGCTGAGGAATGGAACCCAGGGCCTCATGCATGCAAGGCAACCGCTCTACCACTGAGCCACCTTCCCAGCCCAAACCACTCATTCTTACAAGTACATTCCACATAGTCTTGTTTGTTTAGTTTTGTTTTTTATTTAACTGTACTTTTTTTTTTGTCTTTTCTTTTTTAGTACTGGGGACTGAACCCATGAAGGTGCAGCAATTGCTAGGCAAGCACTTTGCCACTGAGCTACATCCCAGCCCCACATAATCTTATAAATAGTCTAAAATTACCTATCCCTGGATTAAAATGAGACCAAGAGATCTAAATATCTACTGAGGGGCCCCATAAAAATTTTCTCAAACAATTTTTTGCCATCAATTCCAATAGCTAATCAGGTCACAAACATTTAAGGGTGTAAAATATCAAATATCCTATATTTTAAAAACTAGCATTAACATGCTTTAAATCCTTTTCTTTATCTAAGTTCCAGCACATTGTACAATATCCTTTCTTTGAAAATTCACATTTTCAAAATACTTTTCTCTTCAGTGGACATTTGCAACTGATAACATATCCTTTCTTAGAGTATCTACAAAAAGTATATCTATGTTTTAGCTTTGACAGGTAAAATGAACTTTTTGCTATAGCTACATGTACTTTCTCCTTATAAATTCTTTGAGGAAGCAATGCTTATTTTATTATATCACATTTATTTAGGTATGTCTTAAAAGTTTGTGAACAAAGTAAAATAAAGCAAGAGTTTGGAGATAAAGTGAATACATTCACACTAAAGCATTTACTACTTTAAAACAGCAATCAATAAAATCACAAAATAATAATCATGAGAAAATTAACACCCTGAACATTCTGAAAAATCCTAATGAAAGTTAACAAATAGTGTTTGCTATGAGATATCCTCAAAACTAAATATTTATTTTAAATACATTTAATTAACTTACATTTATAATTCTTTTAGTAACATCTACTTTCACTTGCACAATTCAAAAATGTTCATTTTTTATTTGTAATAGCTATTTAAAGTAAAAAAAAAAGTCTTAAAGACTAAACCTGATTAGCTATTAAAGGATGCTTGCAAAATGGTAGTTGTTCTAGATCAAAGGAATGAATACAATGTGAAAGTGAGATACATATATGTATATATAAATTATATTTTACTTTGTCTTTTAAGTATTGTAAAATAATTTTAAATTATACAGAGTCTTCTTTCATTTAAAATTGTAGGGGCAAGTATGTGTGGTAACACATACCTATAATCCTAACACTGGGAGGTTGAAACAGGTGGATCACAAGTCCAAGTCCAGATTGGGTTACAAGTAAGATCTTTCACATACTCCCCCAAACCAGTCATAATAACAATAAAAATCATTTAGGTTTGGGAAGTGGATACTTACCCTTCTCCTCCCATTCTTGTTATCTTTAGGCGAAAATCCACAGAATTGAGACTGGGGGGCTTCCATTTCAAAATGTCATCACATCGACCAGGTTTGTATTTCTAAAGGGAATTCAAACATAATAATTAGAAATAATCTCAAGATTGAAGACTAAGTTATTAAACATATTATTCATTATTCATTAATAAGTAAAATGTACTCCATTTCCAAAAATAATTTTGTTATCTTCCAACAAGTGGCACTCCTTTTCCTATCAAAGACACAGACTTGTAAAATATTCCACTTGGCAATCATAATTGAAAAGAATTTGATGAAATTTTTAATCATTCTCCTAACAAAGCATATTTAATAGGAATATCCCAGCCTCCCAGAGGCTCATTATGGTACTGAGGAGTCAAAAGAATAGAGTGTCCACAGGAAGCACAAGCTGAAATATTATAAATAAATATGACCTCCCCAACTCTACCCATTTACACTCAATACCAGGGGATTTTCACACTTACAGACAAAATCAGTATTTACCCACTCTATTTTCAAGCTGAGTAACCCCTCTAAAAATAAAAGAACTGAAGTAAATAAATCATTTTTTCATGATCTCCAAAATAATATGGGCAAACACATTACACAATATAGATTTAGGCCTTTTAAAAATAAGATTTCAATAATCTTGTCAAACTAGAAACATGGTAACAGAAACATCAGAAATCAATATAAATATCAGGCAACCAACCAAGTATTATGTTAGCAAAGTACTTACTAAATCACAGGGACTTGGCTGAATGGCCATATGGCAAAGGGAAGTCTCTAAAATTAAAGCAGGCAGAAAACTAACTTAAGGTGTGATATATTCTTGAGTAAAGCAGTGGTTCTCAACTAACAGTGATTTTTGCCCCCAGAAGATATTTGGCCATGGCTGGAGATGTTTTGGTAATCATTGAGAAAGGGAAGGGCATGCTACTGCCATCTAGTGGATAGAGGCCAAGAGTGCTACTAAATATCCACAACTTAAAAAAAAAAATAGTTCAAAATGTCGAATGCTAGCCATACACAGTAGTAGCACTTAAATTGCACTTAAGCACTTCTGGGACTGAGGCAGGAAGATCCTAAGTTCAAGATCAACCTGGGCTATGTAACAAGTTCCAATTTAGCCTCTGGTCTACATAGTGAGACCCACAGCAAGAGGAGGGAGGGAAGGAAGGGCTGGGGAGGGCAGGGGAGATGTGAGGAAAGGAGAGGAAAGGAGGGGAGAGGCAGGATCAATTGTATAAGGGTTGAGATATCTTGATGTAAATGAAGCTAGGGGTAGGGACAGCAAAGGTGAGATATTTTTAGTCCTTTTCCTCTACCAACTTAATATCAATCAAGTTCAAAGTGGGGCTTCATCATTTTTTTTTTTCCAGTTGTGGGGCCTGAACTCTGGGCCTGGGCGCTGTCCCTCAGCTCTTCAACTCAAGGCTAGCGCTCTACCACTTGAGCCACCACAGCGCCACTTCCGGCTTTTTTCTTTTTGCTTATGTGGTGCTGAGGAATCGAACCCAGTGCCTCATGCATGCAAGGCAAGCGCTCTACCACTGAGCCACCTTCCCAGCCCCCTTCATCATTTATAAAACTATAGTAAGTAGCATTTTACATGTGTCAAACAGGACATCTAGACCATAGGTATTTAAAATGCCTTGCAGCTGTACAATATCATTTTCACATGGTGACATGTGAAATAAGCAGTTAGTTATATTCTTGGAACATATATTCCAAGCATACACTAAAAGCTGACATACAGTACATTCTTCATATGTTCATGCTAAGATCTCTATCCTCATTTTAATACCATTTTTACTTCTATTATTCTAGCATTTCAATTCCAAGAAACCAATGAAATCCCAAATGATAATCCTGCTAGCAGAAGTGAAATAATGGAATCTTTTTCTTTTTTTGGTAGTATTGAGGTTTGAACTCAGGGTCTTGAGCTTGCTGGACTCTAACCACTTAAGTCCCACTCCTAGCCATTTTCTCGTTTTAGTTATTTTTCAGAAAGGGTCTTAAACATTTTGCCTAAGACTGTCTCAGACACAATCCTCCTAACAACACCTCCCTTAGAGCCCCCACTTTTTCTTTGGGAGAGGAACTTGTTACATTTGTTACCAATGCTGGCCTGAAAATACAATCTTCCTATCTTTAGCTCCCAAAAGGCTGGAATTACAGACATTCCTCACCTTCCTTGGCTGTTTTTCTTGGCAGTCCTAGGGTTTAAACTCAAGGCCTTAGCCTTGCTAATTAGGCACTCTTACTACTGAGCCACACCATCCAGCCCTGATTATTTTGCTGATTATTTTTGAGACAGGGTCTCATTTCCACTTATATTAGAAGCCCCAGTAGCTAGGATAACAGGCTTATGCTACCATACCCAATTCTTTGAAGAACTTTTTTTCTGCCCAAGCTGGCCTCAAACCTGGACCCTACCGTTCATTCTGTGTCTCCCAACTAGCTAGGACTACAGGTGTGAGGCACCAGAGTGACCAGGCCAGTCCATTTTTTAATAAGATATGTTCTTCACACATGTATTACTGGTTCTCACTATATATACTCCATTCTAAAAGACTCTAAATATACCTACAAAGAAAATAACTCTAAGATCTTCACTCCTTAACTTTTCTCCCAAGGAAATCTAGATCCTCATTTTCAGATATAAAGATCTCCCTTATTAATGTCCTAATGGTGGACCAAAAGTTTCAAATCTGAAACTGAATCATTTATTTCTGAGCAACAAAGAAAATGTGTTGCTCTTCTTTTTTATTTCCATTTCTAATTAACATGGATCTCCTAATTGGGCAGATTCAAACCTTCTGAATCATGCTGGTACATCCTCTATCACCTCTATTATTTCTATTATTCTTTTGCCCAAGTTACTATGATAACCAATTGCTACTCCTATTACTAAGAAGCCCTATCAACAATAATTGATTTGACTATGCTTGTCAGATGGCTTACTAAACAGAATACAAGCTTCTCAATATAACCACCAAATACCTCCTTACCATATGTGGTCTTATTTATCTCCACTCCTCCTCCTCCCCCCCCCCCCACCCTGAGCTTTATCCTCTACTATGGTTCTGACACAAAATAATAAAGACTAAAACCTACTGACTTTTCAGCCAGGCTCTGGTGCTACTGATTTGTGGAATATTCCACAAAGTAAATCAATTTAATATAATTTCCCTTTTTCATAGTTCACAAGATGAGGCATAGGAAGCGGAGTATATGATCAGATAAAATAAATACTCAGCCAGGCACCAGTGGCTCATGCCTGTAATCCTAGCTACTCAGGAGGCTGAGATCTGAGGATCGTGGTCAAAGCTAGCCTGGGCAGAAAAGTCCGTGAGACTCTTATCTCCAATAAACCACTTGAAAACTGGAAGTGGCGCTGTGGCTCAAATGGTAGAACACTACTAGCCTTGAGCTGAAGAGCTGAGTAACAGCATTCAGGCCCAGAGTTCAAGCCCCATGACTGACAGGAAACAAAAAGTGAATACTCAAATTTAGATATTTTACTCCAAATTTTAAAATACATACTAACTAGCACATTTAACTTGGCCAATGGAAAAAGAAGCCCATACCATACATAAAAATCAATTCAACATAGATTAAAACAAAACTTCAAACTATAAAACTCCTATGATATAGGGGCTGGGAATGTGGCTTAGAGATAGATAGCTTGCCTAGCATGCATGAAATCCTGGGTTTGATTCCCTCAGTACCATATAAGCAGAAATGCAGGAAGTAGTGCTGTGGCTCAAGTGGTAGAGTGCTAATCTCTCCCCCCCCCCACCCGCTGGTCTTGGGGCCTGGGTGCATGTCCCTCAGCTCTTCAGATCAAGGCTAGCGCTCTACCACTTGAACCACAGCACCACTTCTGGCTTTTTCTGCTTAGGTGGTCTTGAGGAATGAAACCTGGGGCTTCATGCATGCAAAGCAAGCACTCCACCGCTGAGCCACCTTCCCAGCCCCAAGAGTGCTAATCTTGAGCAAAAGAAGCTCAAGGATAGTATCCAAACCCTAAGTTCAAACCCCAGGACTGACTAAAAAAGAAAATGTTTCTTGATAGTGGGCTTAGAAATCATTTCTTTGGATGCAATGTTAAAAGCACGGACCACAAGTGTAAAAGTAAGTAGGATTCCATCAAATTAAAAAGCAAAGAAAACTCAGTGAAAACTCAGTAGGCTGGAGGTATGCTTGCCCAAGCAAACAGGCCAATTAATTAATTAATTAAAATAAAAGGCAATCTATAAAATTGGGGAAATATTTGTAAACTAGATACCTATAAGGGGCTAATCTATACATAAATAAATAACTTAAAAGTATAAATAACTTGACTCAAATCGGCAAAGGATCTAAACACACACTTATCAAAAGAAAATATCAGACAGCCCAGAGACATTTGAAAAGACAGGTTCTCTAGTCATCAGAGTACTGCAAATCAAAACCTTACTGGAAATTCACTGCATACCTTTTAGGATGGGTATTAATTACCAAGAAGACAAGAAGTAACAAAAATTCTTGAAGCCAGGAAGAAAAGGAAACTATAGTATGTAAATTGGTGCAACCACTATAAAAAATAATTTTGAAATTCCTAGAAAAAAACAAACATAAAACTACCATATAACTCAGTAATTCTACTTGTGAATTTATCCAAACGTTTGGAAAAGAGAATCCACTGAGATATTTCATTTCCTTGTTCAATTCAGCATTAGAAAAAACTTAAAAACAAAAAACAAAGAAAAAACTTAAAAACAAACATTTCATGGATGAATAATAAATTGTATATTGCATTATTGAAATACAATATTACATAATATATTTCAGTTTTAAGAAAGGAAACAATTAGGGCTGGGAAGGTGGCTCAGTGGTAGAGCGCTTGCCTTGCATGCCTGAGGCCCTGGGTTCGATTCCTCAGCACCACATAAGCAAAAAGAAAAAAAGCCGGAAGTGGCACTGTGGCTCAGGTGGTAGAGCGCTAGCCTTGAGCTGAAGAGCTGAGAGCTAGAGTTCAGGCCCCACGACCGACCCAAAAAAAAAAAGAAAAAAGAAAAAGAAAGAAAACAATTAG